TCTAAAATGTGTGTGATGTGGGTGCCTGGGTGGCTCAGTTGGTTAAGCGACTGCCTTCGGCTCAGGTCATGATCCCGGAGTCCTGGGGTCGAGTCCCGCATCGGGCTCCCTGCTCAGCGGGGAGTCTGCTTCTCCCTCTGACCCTCTTCCCTCTTGTGCTCTCTCTCATTCTCTCTCTCAAATAAATAAAATCTTAAAAAAAGTGTGTAATGTAAAATAAATGGCATATTACAAGTGTAGTTAGCGTTTCATTTTTGTGTGTTTCTTTTTTAAAAAGAAAACCACAGGCCCAAAATGGCTTCCCTTAGGTTAAGGCCCCAGGTCAGCAAACCAGGGCTTAATACCTAATCGAATTGCAGTTTCAACCTTCTCCAGAAATGTAAATTTTGACCAATCAGAAATTTTCTGGTAAGCACCAAAGAGGTAATCTGTCCCAGGGACCTCCTTTGCTCCCAAAAGGAAGGTGAGGTGATCTGCGTGACCAGACCCCCTGGCCTTTCCGCTAACAGGTGATCTGGCCTGAAACGACCCTTTTTCTTTTGTTTATACTTTCTTGCCTCACCCTTCTTATAAAACATTCCATTTTATATATTTCCTCAGATGCTGCCCAATTCGTGAAGCATTTAATGAAGTCAATTAGATCTTCAAATGTACTTGGTTGAATTTTTTTAACAGGTTATTGGCTCGTACGGTCTATTTTGCTTGCCTACTTGGGTGTTTTAGATCTGATGAAATTTGGTACTGAATGCTGCAATCACCGTGAACATGTGTCTTCGTGCCATTTGATCAAATAGCTCTTCGGAATAAACCCATAGAGGTTCATCTTAACCAAAAAAATTTTTTTAAGATTTTATTTGACAGCGAGAGACCAGCTGATCTCTTAGCTCAGGCAACAGACCCGAAGGGCGGAGTATCCCATGATGGAAAGTGGAACTACCCTCAAGCATTAACCACCACCCAGACCAGTCTGAACTTAGCCCAACTCCACAGGTGGGCCACGGAGCGACCCACGCAGTGACTTGACAGTCACCTGTACCTCATTATCATACTGAAATCTGCCCAAGGAGGGGTGCAGGGCTCGTTTCCGTAACACGCAATGTGCGTCTAGGCATGTTTACGGTGCATGTGCAATCTTATGCCACCTCTACATTCAACGAGGAGGCCCGTCTTCCTACTCATCCTAACCCTAAATAAAAGGAACCTGTTCCCCCTTGCCTGGGGAGTCATGGCTTTGGAAGTTATCCCCCTGACCTCCTTATTTGCTGCAGATAAACTTTCCTTTGTGCGACAACTTACCTGGTGCAGTTTTTACTTGAGAGAGAAGAGGGGGGGAAGAGCAGAAGGAGAGGGGCAAGTGTGACGCGTGCTGAGCGCCCAGCCCAGGGCCGGCTCGATCCCACGATCCCACGATCCCACGATCCCACGATCCCACGACAGGAGACCATGGCCTGAGCCGAAACCCAGAGCCAGGTGCTTAACCGACGGAGCCACCTGGGGCCGTCGCTGTCTGTGACTCCCCAAGAAGTGAACTCACACATGAGTTCCGTTACAACGATAGAGGTTTTGGGTGTGTATTCCGTTTGCTTTCAGATGTTATTCCACATGAGAGAAATCCAGGGCTCCTGTTTCCCTTTGGTTTGGGTTGCAGCCCACAAATTAGTGATGAGGGAGCAGAAGGCTCGCTGAGGACGAAGCAGCAGCTGACACCCTACCCCCCCCCCCCCCCCCCGTGATATATGTGACATTCCTCAGGCACTCTGGGCTGCCCTAAAGGAAAAACAAATGGTTCACTGATAAGATCACAGTCCTGCAGGACTGGAGTCTCCCTCAGTTTGCAAATGTCGGAGTGATTTACAAGGAAGAGAAGCTTTCTCATCAATAGCCTAACTTCCAGAGACCCGTACCTGGGTTCCTGAAGCCCTAACATCACCCTCCCCTCCATAAAATTAAGGGAGGCTGAGGCGGAAGGAAATGTAAATAAAACTGAATTTCTTCTAAACCCGAAGCCCACTGACAAGGACGTGTGATAGGAGGAACGTAACATTCCTCCAGGAAACCCCCAACCGTCTTCATGCTGGTGCCTCATTAGAGGGGAACCAGCCTTGGCTGGACGATGACCAGGCCTCCAGGAGCCGCAGGGTCTTTGGCGTATGACAGTCCTTCCGGGCTCTCCCCTCCCCAGCTGCCAAGTGTAAAGTCAACCACACGGCACAAACCAGAGCAGCTCTGCCTGCCCCTGGGCCCTGTCCCTGAGCTTTAATAAAACCACCTTTTTGCCCCAGAGACGTCTCAGGAACTCTTTCTTGGTCGTCGGCTCCGGACTCCACCCCACCGAACCTCACATATATTCTAAAACTTCATCATTACGGGACATAAAGGGAAAGGAGCAGAATCCAGCCCAGGCAAGGGCAGGTCATCAGGCTAAAGGAAGGAGTGATCACCGTCCTTCCCCCTTCCCTCCCAACCTCCCCACCATAACCACGGGGTTTTCTTACTGTCTCTCTGCACTATTATAAAAAGTCCTCATCAAGCCTATGGAACTTGAAATGAGTACATCATCCCAACTGTCTGTAATGGATGTATAATATGTACAAATAAAAGAAAAAGTGCTCAATTACATTAACACAGAACATTAAATTTAAAATGAAAAAACAAAAAGCCTTAAAAGTAAAGAGAAAGCTTTCATTTGCTTTAAAGTTTTTGTTTAAGAAATGTTGTGTATCATTTAGAAATAATGCAGATTTCAGATTTTTTATTAATAGACCCAATACTGTACTAATACTCACAAAATATTAGCATTAGGTATTGAGAAGTAGCAGAATAGTCCACCCCAAAATATTCCATTCTGGCATAAGGTTGATTTTGAGCTGAAGGCATTTGAGATGAAGCCGATAGAAGAAACGCTCTTTGTCAGGAAGTAGATTTACAAAGCTGTCCCTCCTTCCCTCTACCTGGAAGGACAAAGGTTAATCCCAGTGTCAGAGTAGACAGTTGGGGAGGCCCTAACGGGATTCCTGGAGGCCAGCAAGGAGGCGGCCGCGGCCCGCTGTGGGGAAGACCAGAGGCCTGTGCTGGCAGCACCCACGAGAGGCCGTATCCCACCGGGCAGGCCCACGGTGGCGGCACCACGATGGGAAAGCCCTGAGCAAGTGAGGAAGAAAAGGCAGGAAACCCTGCTTCCCTCCCCAAGTAATAGATATTCTGTCGCCTAGTTAACAACTGTCAATAAAAGACAGAAACCCAACCCCCAGGACACACAGTTGAGCTCACCATGCTCTCACAACTTGAAAGTGTACTTTTGCTTGAATAAACTTTCCTGCTTGTAACCCTCATACACTGTGTTGTGTCTGCCCTTGAATTCTTTCTCCTGAGGAGACCAAGAGCCTTCTGCGACATCTTTGATACGGGTTGGGTCCAGACCTCAGGGCCCAGGGTCTCCCAGTTCACCCAGCAATACCAGTAGACAGCTTTAAACCTTTATCAATGGAGAAGGTGCCAACTTAAATCTACCTAACAAACTTTATTCTTGTTTTCCTGGTAACCTTCCCATAACTGACTTCCCAGCACCTTTTGTCTTCGGCTAATAGGGGCCGAGGGCAGGATGCCCCAAAGATGTGCCACTTTGCCGAGATGATTGTGAGCTGAAGACAATAAAGACCGTGTGGTCTTGAAAGAAACTTTTGTCCCTCCCTTAACTGCAAAAAAGAATCTAATTTGGGGTCTTTCCCAGAAGAGGATTATGAACAGAGATAAAAGTTTATCTGAGTGACCCATCTGTTCGGCAGGGCAAACATCTAATTACAAAACACCTGCTCTTCTTATTGCCCCATGAAGGTCATCTCCTCTCTTCGAAACCCCAGACCCCTTTTCCTTAGTTCAGAATGAGACAGACGCCGCCTTCTGCCTGTCTTTGGAATTTCCAGGTCTGTGTGGATTCCCTGTACAGATGCTATTAAATTAGACTTTTCCCTTGTTAATCTTCCTCATGTCAATTGGATTCTTAGTCCAGCCAGAAGGACCCTTGAAGGGGACAGGAATTCTTGCTCCCTGACAAGCTGAAGACAGTATTTAAGCGGTATTTCTAAGGCACCTTGGGGGTTCCTCGTTGTCCCCAGTGTAGCTGCCACGTTTACACGAGGTACACATGTTAGAAAGGAGACAGCAGGCCCCAAATGGAGTCCGTTGTATAAACCCACATCAGCAAAACAAGCTTTAACACCTAATCTCCTCCTAAGTCTCACTCCCGGATTCCCACGCCCACCCCCAGGAATGTAACCTTTCACCAAGTGCAATTAACCTAGACTGCTAGGGAGATAATCCATCCAGTGTCCCGGCCAATCCCTTGAGGAGGACGACCTTGCCTGAAACAGTGCATTCTTTGCTAATAATTTCCTTTTTCTGCCGCCTTTGCACCTTTAAAAGCCTTTTCTTTTCTATAGCTCAGCAGAACTCCTTTGTATTGCTGGATGGGATGCTGCCTGATCCATGAATCATTGGATAAAGCCAATCTGACCTTTAAATTTACTCAGTTGAATTTTTGTTGTTTAACAATGTTAATAAACTTCTGTGTGTTTTTCTCTTGGGAAAACTTTTATTACAGGGATCTCAGCCAAACACTCAGAAGAGTAGAGGAAAAGTCATTTTGCTTTCCCTATAATGGGAAGACATATTTAAGGACAGAACACGTAAATAATGAGTAAAATTATTTGTGTTACACAGCTTCTATAAAGCCCATCAAAAAGTCAAATATTCTATGGGGGGGGGTGCATCTGAGTGCCTATCATTATTAGATCCTGTTGTCAGCATTTATTTTTATTCCAAGAAGTCATATGTATACCAGGATTAGAAGTAGTTATATTTTACCTTAAAAAAAGTAAAGTACAAGAAATAGGAAAAAGGGTATGAATATTAATATGACAATAGACTTTAAGTGTTAAAGAAATCCCATATAGGAAGGGGTGCTTTCAGGGAAAAATTACAATTGGGTTGAAAAGTCATGGGTAGGTCAACCAAATATTAGAATAAGGGTTTTTAACCTGGAGTCCAAATACGCCACAATACCTCCAAGGATAAAAATCGTCAGTGCATGGTTGGGTGGGGGGTGGTAATGAGGAGAAACCCCATAAGTTGGGATGGGGAAAAATATAATTTACTTTTGACTGATCTTTAGCATTTCCCTTTATAATGAATTTAGGCCACAACCTTAGTCCCTGTGAGTTTGTCACCCAAAGGAAATCACAGATAATCTCATTTCTCATAACAATTGCCAAATTACCTTGAACCGTTATTTTACTTGTCTAATTACTGATGGCAATTGGGCTCACCAATATTGTATTATGTAATATGTTCACAGTTTAGGCACATATGTCAGTCTTAGCAAATTTATTCTTAAAAATATGTTGATAACTAATAGGATTTTTTCTTGCAATTTTTGCATTTTATGCACTTCAAATATTCTGAGAAGGATTTCCATAAATGTCAACAGGCAAAGGTGTCCATGGCATTCAAGAAGAAACCGCTAAGAATGCTTTTTTTCCCCCTTTTTGAGATTACATCATCAGTGAACGGGGAGTAGGAGGCAAGAATCTGTGCCTTGGGCAATAAAAACCGTTGGCAGGGGTTTTCCTTATTTCCTTACAAAAGCAACAAAAGTTAGGTGTGATGCACATCAATCGACCTTTCTCCATACCTAACCCTGCCCGCTGGGAGGAGGCCAGGGGTGGTCAGGAGCCCACCACACACTATACTCCATTTCTAAGCAGCCCTCTGTCAAAGCAGACCAGAATCCTCTATTTATAGTATTTTCCTTACTCGCACCTTTAAGTCTGTAAGACAGAACAGCCTTTGTGATTAGCAACACTTTACATTTCAATAGCACTAGTTATAGGAAACATTCTTTATATGTTAAGGTGTGACCAATTACGCTGTGGCAACAGCCTTGACGACTTCAGGCTCCAGAATGGTGTCATAGCTACCCATGTAATCCCAGTATTTTATTCATTTGGCAACATCGAGGGTGGTGGAGGGCAGTGCCTCAAAGCCTATGTACTGTTAGGAAAACTGGATGCGACTCTTGGCAGCCTTCGGATGGGGGAAGACTATCCTGCAGTGAAGCTCTCCATTGACTGGTAGGAGACCGGATGTCCTTGGGCATGATGGTGACGCGCTTGGCGTGGATGGCGCACAGGTTGGTGTCCTCGAAGAGCCCCACCAGGTAGGCCTCGCACGCCTCCTGCAGGGCCATCACGGCCGAGCTCTGGAAGCGCAGGTCGGTCTTGAAGTCCTGCGCGATCTCGCGCACCAGCCGCTGGAACGGCAGCTTGCGGATCAGCAGCTCGGTAGACTTCTGGTAGCGCCGGATCTCGCGCAGGGCCACCGTGCCGGGCCGGTAGCGGTGCGGCTTCTTGACGCCGCCGGTGGCCGGCTGCTAAACTCAGCCAGGGAGGCTTTTGTGCACCAGAAAACTTAATTGACAAAAGCTAATAGCTCCCTGTGGACGCTCACTGACTAGGTAAACAACTAAACAAGGTATGCAAGGAGTGTTTTCCAATTACCGCCAATTCTCAAATGGGGGAAAACCTATCGTTCATCGCAGGCCTAGGCTTTAATGTACTGTTCGGCTTTCAACCCGGGATACAGGATAGATGAGAATGGCTCAAGTTTTCTACGTTCCAGTTTCTCTTCTCATTTAGCATATAAAACACATGTTAAAGTTCTTTTCCAGAAAATATAAGTGGCCCTGAAAAGAGCCTTTGGTTTGGACTCAACTTACTCGAGCTACAGTAAATGGTTATATAGACCACTACTTGCCCTTGGCCTTGTGGTGGCTCTCGGTCTTCTTGGGCAGCAGCACGGCCTGGATGTTGGGCAGGACGCCACCCTGCGCGATGGTGACGCGGCCCAGCAGCTTGTTGAGCTCCTCGTCGTTGCGGATGGCCAGCTGCAGGTGGCGCGGGATGATGCGCGTCTTCTTGTTGTCGCGCGCCGCGTTGCCCGCCAGCTCCAGGATCTCGGCCGTCAGGTACTCGAGCACGGCCGCCAGGTACACGGGCGCGCCGGCCCCGACCCGCTCGGCGTAGTTGCCCTTGCGGAGCAGGCGGTGGACGCGGCCCACCGGGAACTGCAGGCCGGCCCGCGACGAGCGCGTCTTGGCCTTGGCGCGAGCCTTGCCGCCTTGCTTGCCGCGTCCCGACATCACCGCCCCACACACACCGCGAGCAGCTGCCAAACCTAAAGCGCCAGCCCAGCACTTTTTATAACCCTGTTGGGCGCCAAAAGGGAGGTTGTGCATTGGCTAAGACTGTGGCTTCGTATCGCCCAATGGAAATGCAACTTTGCGATCCTTGCGTTCCGATTGGGCAGGACTAACTTCTGACGTTGGGTTGAACAGTCACCAATCAGACGCAGGGTGTCATTTACGCCTTATTTGCATAAGGGCTTCTATATAACCCGGACAAGGGGCGCCTTGCTTACGCTGTTATTTCGTTTTTTCGTGAGCCCTTTTTGGCGTTGTCTGCAGCATGCCCGAGCCCGCCAAGTCGGCTCCGGCCCCGAAGAAGGGCTCCAAGAAGGCGGTGACCAAGGCGCAGAAGAAGGACGGCAAGAAGCGCAAGCGCAGCCGCAAGGAGAGCTACTCGGTGTACGTGTACAAGGTGCTGAAGCAGGTGCACCCCGACACCGGCATCTCGTCCAAGGCCATGGGCATCATGAACTCGTTCGTCAACGACATCTTCGAGCGCATCGCGGGCGAGGCGTCCCGCCTGGCGCATTACAACAAGCGCTCGACCATCACGTCCCGGGAGATCCAGACGGCCGTGCGCCTGCTGCTGCCTGGGGAGCTGGCCAAGCACGCCGTGTCCGAGGGCACCAAGGCCGTCACCAAGTACACCAGCGCCAAGTGAACAGTGAGTTGGCGGCAAATTGAAAACTAACGGCTCTTTTAAGAGCCTCCATATTTTCAAAGAGAGGGCTGCTGCTTGTTTTTATTCCGTGCTGAGCTGTAACTACAGTAATTGGTCTGCGAGGTACGGCAATCACTGAACAATGTCAGACTTTCCTGTCGCGATAACTAAACCACAAGAAACGTTACCAGGCCCTGGCAAAGGTCTGTAACGCCTTTGTGCAAAGTAACCGCTCTGAGCTTGTCACCGCCCCTTGGGAACTATTTTCAAAACGGCTCTGCCACCGGTTCTGATAACCGTTAGGATTAAGTAACTGGCAGAGAAAGCTAAGCTCGAAGCAAATTCAAATACACCCCAGTTATCTGCCGAGAGTAAAGAGCTGGGCGCGGGCGCAGGGTTTGCGCGGGCAGTTTGAATTTGCCGCCCTTCCTCTCCGCGCCCTGATTGGTTGCCGGCATCTGGGAGGCAACCGCGGGTCTGGATGCGCGGAGACCCCGGGCCACTCCGGCCCGCGAGCCCCGCACACAGCAGCCCCTGGAGGAGACATTCTCCCGAGTCTGAGCTGCTTTTCATTCTCCTCGTCTTTAGTGTTCTATCCTTGTGGGAATGACATTTATACTTTTCCTCTTGGAATTTTCGTTGGAGAGAAAGGAATTTGGAGGATGTCATAATCAGTGTGAGGAGTACCCATGCTTTATTTCTAATTAGGGTGCGCTTTCCCTTTGCCATATATCCATATAATGGAAAATACTACAAGACGAGACAGGACTGGGTTGGGGGGGGCGGCGGTCAAATGAAGGCAAAGAAGCTTGATGGCTATCCTAGGTTCTCCTGAAACAAAAATCAGTATCTATTGTAAAGTTCCTTTCGTTGGTATTTTAAATCCTATGTTTGACATCGCCTGGAACCAGTGAGGAAGAACACACTCCGTGTCAGGTTGTAAATAAGAACCCGTCACCCAACAATAGTATGTCTCTGGATTATAACTATTCAATATTCTGTATCTCTTAGCTTAAAAGCCACGATCTATAAAGCATTAGGAAGCTTCCACTATGGCTGGTTTGGGGTTTACGTAATTTTAAATGGATTTAATTTAAATCCATTACCTAGTTTATCTAAAACGGATCTAAATTTAATACAGTGGTAATGCCTTAAACAATATTTTGTTAATTTCAGTGTCAAATATACATTTCTCCTTTGTTGATTCAAATCCTACTCATGTTTCAATGCCCACTTCAATCTTGCCTGCTCTGAGATTTCCTTCCGTTTTTGAGCTTCTTCTAGCAGTTTGTTCAGCATTTGGGAACTGCCTCCATATATATGGATTTGAATTGCTACTAATTGGTTTGTTGTATGTTTCCACGTAGAAAAATATAGTCATGAAAGGAAAAACAAAGAAAGAAAAGAAAGTTCTTTCCTTCATCTCCATCCCACACTAATGATAACTGAGTATCTGTAAATAAACAGAACATAAATAATTTTAGTCACTTCTGTCATATGAGTCCCCGACCCTCTCCATTAATCCAAATAGTCAGATGATAATTTCCAAGCTAAATACTTTTTTTGCTGTTTGTCTTATAGGATACAGAAATCAGAATAAAAAGCCGGAATTTGTGAGAAAAGGACAGGGATTGAGACAGAAGATAAGTCAGAGGCAATAGTCCATTCCCAGATGAAAATCTGTAAAGACTAAGTTTTCGAAACTACGATGTGGAAAAGATCCCAGCTAATTCTCCTATTACTCAGAAAATTAAACTTAAGCCGTAAACAAATCAGGTAAATAAATCAAATTTTCATCTTTGGGGTAATCTGTACCTTGAAGGAGTCCCCTTGTAAATCAGGCAAGGTTTTGTTTTAATCCTTTCCTTGAAAAACAATTACCACTTTAACCATTGCTAAATCCGCTTCAGAAGAACTGGTTCAAAGCTAAACTAACAAGGTATATCATTGAAAAAAATGTACATTGTGAAATATCATATCCCAAAATAGGTATTTGTTGCTCAAAGTACTTATGACTATTTGACAGGTCTTCCCCAGAAATCACAAACCAGAATGATGCCTAGAACACTGTGTTAGAACTAGCTGTTTGTAAATAGCCTTTTTTCCAGTTACATCAAATGATTATATTTCATTTTTCTACTGTGTATGTATTTCTTTTTAAACTAATCTGCAACAGTTGTTGAAATCGAGGCACCCATTCCCTAGGGAATTAATAGAGCCCCACTAACAAAGTCTATGGACAGATCAGTGGCCCTATATCTAGATACCATGCAGATATCTCTTCTTCCATTATACCTTTGGTGTGTTAAAGTTAATTCCGTTGTAATATAACTTTGGTTAATTTTATTTTCAAGTTTTGATAATATGTGGTAAATATGCAATTAGTAATAACTATATTTACAAACTGTCCATTGATTTGAATGACTTATTCTAAGCTTTAATTTCAAAGTGTCACTTTTCTTGATATTGCCCCCAAATGTTAGATACACAACTCTCTTTATAGAGTTTGCATTGCATGAAGACATATTTGCATTCTGCACATAAAGCAAAGCAGAATTTTTTAATTTTAATAATAAAAAGGGATTCCTGAAGAACTTGTTTTGCACATTATTAACATTTTATCTCGTCTTTATAAATGAATCTGTTCTCATTTACTATGGAAACTATCCTATACACTTGACATTGGGAAACCCGATGAACATGTGGTTTGTGCTCTGGCACACCATCAGATCTATAAAACTATGATGTATACATCAGTATTTGATTGTCACATGGAAGCGATATATACCAGGCCCAGCCCGAGCAAGTACTGAAGGAAGAAAATAATTGTTAGAGCAAGTAGCTCGCACTCCAGTTATTTCTACTTCTGAAACATGGGTATGCTTTTTATTTTTAGTAACATGAGTTTTCTATAAATTGTTGATTGAGAAAGACTATCTAGGTTTAAAAGTAGGCCGTGGCACTTAAAATTTGCATTTACACGTTAATTTCTCTAGCTTTTTTCCTCATTTAAAAAGGGGGATACAGTAGTGCTTGTGATGAATTAATTTTGCACATGCCTAGAACCCTGCCTCGCGTATGGTAAGGATTCAACATACGGGGTGTCATATGCCGCTGCTGACGCCAGTCAGAGACAGTAATAACAACGTACCACTCAGGAGGATCGTGGAAGACAGGGAAGAAAGGAGGATCGCTGCCACTGGGAAGAAGTGGAGCATTGCCTCTCATTGTTTACTTTGGCTGGAAAGAGAAATGATCTAAGATATCGATCTAAACTGACTCGTGTGTGGCTGATTTGCCTGGCGAGGCAAAGATGTGAAGGCGACAAAAGTGGAGGTTTGTTGACAAGTTTTGGGGAACAGTGAGATGGATGAACTCAGAATGGTTCCAGAGTATAAGAATAACGTTGGCCTCAGACACATGAAAAAGTGCTCAACATCGCTCGGCATCAGGGAAATCCAAATCAAAACCTCAATGAGATACCACCTCACACCCATCAGAATGGCTAAAATTAACAAGTCAGGAAACGACAGATGTTGGCGGGGATGTGGAGAAAGGGGAACCCTCCTACACTGTTGGTGGGAATGCAAGCTGGTGCAACCACTCTGGAAAACAGTATGGAGGTTCCTCAAACAGTTGAAATTAGAGCTACCATACGATCCAGCAATTGCACTACTGGGTATTTACCACAAAGATACAAATGTAGGGATCCAAAGGGGTATGTGCACCCCAATGTTTATAGCAGCAATGTCCACAATAGCCAAACTGTGGAAAGAGCCAAGATGTCCATCAACAGATGAAATGGATAAAGAAGAGGTGGTATATATACACAATGGAATATTATGCAGCCATCAAAAGGAATGAGATCTTGCCATTTGTAATGACGTGGATGGAACTGGAGGGTGTTATGCTTAGTGAAATAAGTCAATCAGAGAAAGACATGTATCATATGACCTCACTGATATGTGTATCAGTGTGATTCCTCACTGATATGAGGAATTCTTAATCTCAGGAAACAAACTGAGGGTTGCTGGAGTGGTGGGGGGTGGGAGGGATGGGGTGGCTGGGTGATGGACATTGGGGAGGGTATGTGCTATGGTGAGCGCTGTGAATTGTGCAAGACTGTTGAATCGCAGATCTGTACTTCTGAAACAAATAATGCAACGTATGTTAAGAAAAAAAAAAGATAGCAGGAGGGGAAGAATGAAGGGGAGTAAGTCGGAGGGGGAGACGAACCATGAGAGACGATGGACTCTGAAAAACAAACTGAGGGTTCTAGAGGGGAGGGGGGTGGGGGGATGGGTTAGCCTGGTGATGGGTATTAAAGAGGGCACGTTCTGCGTGGGGCACTGGGTGTTATGCACAAACAATGAATCATGGAACCCTACATCAAAAACTAATGATGTAACGTATGGTGATTAACATAACAATAAAAATTAAAAAAAAAAAGAATAATGTTGGCCTATGTCAATGCCAGCCATGAGGTCCATGCTTCCATGGAAGTTCTCAGTAATCAGGCAGACACCACCAACAGTGTGCATGGCACTAAGTTTCTTTTCTCAGTACCTTCTTACTGCCCAAGCAATTTGTAAGCAAGGTGGCCCACAGAAGAGGTTATACAGGAGCTCTTCAACATAGACTCAGCTCCAGAGAGCTGACGCAGATGCTGACGCTGCCAAGCGTCCCAAATACTAGGACAAGTGTTCTTGGATCCATTTTGTCTTGGATGAGGCAGATACTGGACTTCACTGAGATAGACACTTATTCTAGATTTCGTGTGCTTCACTCTCAGGCCATTGCTAGCAAGCTCACCTATGAATTTCCTGAATACTTTATACCTCCTATCTCAAAACACTATTTTGACCCATTTCAGTACATCATAGAGAAAAGCTAAGGCAGCCCAAAGATGGCCCCGGGACTACCTAGTCTTCCCGCATAGCACAGCCTTCATGAGCAGCGGCCTCAGCAGTTCCTGGGAGACACTGTGGAAGCGGCATCTAGGAGGCTGGCAAGTTACTGGAGTCCTGCTCAGCTACATAACGTATAGGAACTGAATAGTGACAAAGAAGAGCCATAATTTCTGCCATTGCCAAACACATTGGTTAGAGAACAGAGAGGCGGAAATGGAGGGGGTCCCTCTGCTACGGGGCTTAATCACCGACTCGAACAACCTTCACTTTCCATCCTTGCGTCTCAGGGCTCACCCTGTTGAGTTTATTGGATTTTTGGTTTTTTGTTTTTAAAAGTTGTAGTATTCAAAGGAGGAATGCCTCTGCCTGTGGACACTGAGATGACTCCATTAAATGGTTCCTTTCTAATGTAAACTTAAAGCAATTTTAATTGGATTCACTAGCTGGCTTAAGAGCTATGCGGTAAGTCTTGACTTGAGGGATTTAGACCTTTGGATTCCCCTGTTGCTCAGTCTTCTCTAAGTTTTTGTTTTCCTTCTTCCCTCTTGCACTTTCTCTTTTTAGGAGGATGGGCAGCCGCTGGAACAGAGACTGTCTGAGTGTTCGTTAAAAGGCTGTCATAAAAAATACACAATGAAAGCCGGTCAACTTAGTCTCAGAGATCTTCAAATACAAGTTAAACTACGCTACTGTAAGTTACTATAAAGTTGATAAATACACAAAGTTTCAATAATTCTTAAGAACTGGTCACTTGATGGAATTGTTTTTAGATAACTGAGTTGAGAAAAATTGGCCTGTTACCCATGTTTCCTCCTGTGATATTTCACATATTTATCTATTGAACCTAATCACTGATTTTTCTTTCCTTCTCCGTTCATATTTTATTTAGGATGTCTTGGTGCCACATAACTCTATAAGTTACACAATATATAGGTGGCCTAACAATAGAACCAGGAGAGCAGTGAATTCTGGATTATGAGCTATTTTCTATAACTAAAAAGATTTTGCATGCTCTTAAAATGTGACTGAGACATGCAAAATGGGCAAATCATCATCATTATGGAGAAGCAATATGTGGAAAAGAGTATATTCTGGTTTTTGGTCATTGTTTATTTCTCAGCTTACAAAAATTCATTGCATTTCTGTATAACAAACTTTTTCAGAAATTATTAAATATATATATATATATATATATATAGAACCACATAATTGCTGCATTGTAGGGTTAAGAAGAAATCCAATGCTTTCAGACTCTTATTTAAAGGTATTAAGTGAAAAGATGTAGTATGTTCATGGATAAGAAATATTAAATAGCATAAAGATGTCAGTTCTTCTAAAATTGGTATAATTATTTAAGGTACTTCCAGTCAAAATCCTTATGTTAGTTTTGGAATTTGGAAGTTAATTTTCACATTTATTTGAAAAGCAAAGTGATAAAGAAAAAATCCAAGAAACTCTCAATGCGAGGTACACATGATTTAGTGATAAAAGACTTATATAATACTATGTGGTACTGCACAGAGATGGAAACATTCACCAACTGAATTAGATAGGAAGCCAAGGAGCCCATCTAATTTTTGGTTGAAATTTCAGAAAAGAGAGAGGTGAGATTTCAGGTTAGTGAGGAAAAGACGGGTGGCTCAAAAAAATTGATCCGGGCAACTGGTGATGGGGTGGTTGTGGGGGAAGACCCCTAAATGTAAATAGAACACCACTAAGGCCTTCCGAAAATAAAACAGGAAAATATGACTATAGAGAAGGACTTTTTAAACAAGAAACAAAGGTACCATGAAGAAGAGTGTTAATTATATATCTCATTAGAGAGGCATTTTCTCTTAAGCGATTTTGCAACATCAAGACTTCTAGGTTCTTTCTTCCTTAATGTGGGAAGGAGAAAATATTAGTCAATGTCAATTGAAAGTGAAGAAGGGATTGAAAAGTCTGTTTCCCCTGAAATCTGACCTTGACCTCTGAGGTCAGATCTTTAGGTTCAAACCTTCTTTTCTTTTCTCTCTCCTTCTGGTTCCTAATTCAGAATAATGAAAGTGTTAAGATATCTTTCCTATTTTGTCTATAGATACAGAAAACAAGTTTGTTTGCTTGTTGTGTAAAAAACTAAGGTTTTCAGAGGAAAAGTGTTTCAATTATAATCTTAAAGATGCTAACTTTTATGTGAATGAAATATGAATGGAAACTATCAGTAAGATACTACTTTTGTTTTTTAGGAAACTTCTCCCCGGCACCTTTCACAGAAAGGCTCTACAATGACAGTCCATGAACAATGAGAATTGCCATCACCCAGGTTATCTTTTCTCGACCCTTTTCCAAAGAGCAAACTCGACTATTTGGAGATTTAGTTAAGTGATACGAATTGAGACAGATTTGGGAGACACAGCCATCACTGGAATCCTAGTTCAGGAAAATCACTGTAAAAAAGTATTTGAGGCAACTGAGGGTTGTGGTTTTTTGTTTGGTTTGGTTTTAAAGCACTAGATATTGGATGATGTTACAAACGATCACTTCTGAGTTTTTTTCGGTGCAAGATTCTTGTATTTTGTTTACCTCTGTATCTGCTGGGACGTCTGTGACAATACTCGAGCCTGAAATGGCGAGCTTGTGTGCCCCGCCCGCCCGAGGAAGCGCGGAGAGCGAACCGGTGCCGGCAAGATGCTGGTACTCCCCGCAGATTCGGGGTGTGCTCCCAGCCTCCCCTGCACACCCCCCCCAAAGTTTTTTAAGATGTCGGATCTCCTTCACTTTTGGTCAACAAAGGGTGACACAGGGGAATCCAGACACGGAGAAATCACCACGACTTAAGCGAGGAACTGGAAGAGGGGTGCGCCGAGGGAAGTGTGTTACTGGAAGGCTCCTCCTTCCAGCCCACGTGCGGGAGAGCGCCGCACGCTGTCGCCACCTGCTGGCCGTTTGGGACAATGCAGATAAAACTTGGTTTTGTTGTATGGTTTCTATTAGGCAGTCAGTTGCAGGGGCTTCACAATTGCATACATAAAGAACACAAGAAGCAAACACAAGAAACAATCCTGCTCCCAACGTAGTCCTTCACCGCCCAGTAACAGGGAGCCACATTTACCAGTTTTGTGTGTAGTGGTCTGGAACTTCATACAAACACACACAGAAATGTGGACTCCTCCCCCCCCCAACACACACACTTTCATTTAAATGGCCAATGGTGATGTTCGCACGGTTCTACCCATTGCTTTTCTCATTGCCTAGCTTAGAACCCTTTCCTTAATAACTAGAGCGGCTGAAAATTCTCGGCAGGTGCACCCTAGTAAACTAAGAACGGTAACCCGAGGCCAAACCTGTTCCTACACTGGGAACCCCTAAAAGTGAGCCTGATGCTCATCTTTGAGAGGGCCGAAGCAGGTCAGGACAGCGGTGGGATGGGACCTCTGGGCTTCGTAAGGGGAGACACTGAGATCCTAACACCGAGCATCACCTTGTCAGTGGGGCCGTGGTTAATAGTCATCTTTTATCATTGAGCGACCCCACCCTAATTTCCTATTCCTACTTTCTACTCTATTTGTCTTCGTAATATGTACCAAGATCTGACATGCTGCATGTTTTACCTATTCTTTGGCTTCTCGTCACCCTAACACCCTCCCCACTAAAATGTAAGTTCCTTGAGAGATGTATTTTTCTGTTTTAGTCTATTTTGGTCACTACTTATATTTCCCAGCTTCTAGAACAGTGCCAGGCACAGGGCACATCTCTGAATAAATGAGTGAAGTCATATTCCTTGGTTCCACTGTTGCCAAATGGGAGATCCTCAACGACTTTTCTTTACTTCCTTTGGTGGATGATCCAGAAGATCAGGACCTTCCTTCATTAGGGAAGACCCGAAGCCTGCCAGTTTCAGGGCGTGAAGCTAATGGGAAATTCTAAATCCCCTTCTCTGAGACTGCTGCCTTCTGGATTTCCATTTCTCCTGGAGGAGAAACCCTGGTGTCTAAGGACGTCTCCCCTAGAGCCCCCAGAGGCCCATCCCACCCTGCACCTATGGTGACTGCCGCTCAGAGGCGCTGCTGTTCAGGATTTCCCTGCTCATCCAGCCGAGGGACCTCATGGCTCTCTGGGTGGGCACGGTTAATGTGTGCCTTTGCCTGGCCTTTTTCCTTCTCTTTCACTTACCTCCAACTCACTGCCTTCTGAAAGTTCCATCACTCTTTCACTGGCCAGACTATGAAGCAGGCCATCTGGTCCAATGAGTGAAGGCACACATGACTGCCAAACCTGTCTCCAGCCTCAACTTCTCCTTCCTTTAAATCTGCACTGGTAACCGTGTGACCTGGGACGTTCTTCAAAATACCACCAAAACCACCGCGCAGGGATCATCGATCACCACCGCCATTCAGGGCTGTGTGTCAGGGAACCAGAAAAAGGGAGTCACTCAGCTTGTTTTATTTAATCCAATTTATTATTTTTTTCACAAACATATACTATTATCCTCATTTTAGAGATGGAGCTGAGGCTGGGGCAGGGGTGGGAGGGTGTGGAGTAGCTTCCTAAAGTCACGTGGCAGATACCCGGCAAAGTCAGCGTTGACAAGCAACACGTGTTACCCCCAAATCTGCTTTCTCCACCCCAGTCCATGTCCCTCCCCCTCCCTTCTCCACGAGTGCTCACCAGCTCATTGAACATATTTACACAGCTGTGGGTTTCTTCATGCACCAGAAAGACATCCCCACCTGCAACGGCTTGCCAAATCTTCCAGATTTTGCTCCTGCAAGTTCTCTTTCTGTTCATTCATTCCTTCATCCAGTTGTGGTACACAGTGTTGTGGAGGAAATGCCATGTCACACAGAGCTCACCTCTGACTCCAGAGGCTGATAGAAGGCACATGGCCCAGCATCTGGGGCTCTTCCGTGTTGGGAATGTGCTCTGGTTTCTCCACCCCTGGTGGCCCCTTTCTGATGGCCCACAGCTAAAGAAAGAGACCTCAAAGCTCAGTCTGACCACGTGTAGGAGTGCTGACAATACTGACTCTGTTCTTGACTCCGCCCTCTTCGGGTTTGCAAGATGGCCTCTTTGGGGGCTGTGTTCCCAGCCCTTGGAGACTAATAGACATACTTTAGGAATGACTGCCAAGGGCTGGATGCAGCGGGTCGGGGGGCTTGCTGTGGCCTCCCATGAATCTATTAGAGATAACATAGTCTCTCCCCTTCTTGACACACAGATGGGGTCACAAGATCTAATTAAAGGTTAGCTGTCAGTTAGGTGCAGGTGACCCCTTTGATCTCACTACAGTGCCCTTCTGCGAGGCTCCCCCTTGCTCTATAAAATCTGGGGACTACCGTCTGGACTTTTCAGAAAATAGCCATGCAGCTGCCCTGTCTCATTTTCCAGCAGATTCTCCGTCAGTAAGTTACCCTGAGTAAAGTTCTGTATAAACTGTACGGAGCCCCCTGTTTAGTTTTCTAGTCTCAAAGCGCCTTCTCAGTTTGGGGCACACTTTACTGTCCCCTCCCCCACCACCTAACAGGCACGTCACTCCTCCGCCCCGAGTTCTTCAGAAGATCTTCTATCAACTTGACCTGCATTTCAAACCATGACTCGACACCATCTACAATTTCCCAGCTCATTAAAAAAAAAAGTCATTTCTACCACGAACGACTGTTTCATACCGAGTTACTAAACACGTTCTTTCCTCAGAAAGAAATTCCCATTCCCAGGTCTGTGGCCTCTCTGCTCTGTTCTTGCTTCAGCCTTACCCTTGTTCATTCTCGATTCCTTTGATCTGATAGAGTGTTTTCCTCTCTCCCCACCCAGCTCTTTCTTTAAACTTGTTTTGTGTTTTCGCTCTTTTGCGGGGGGGGGGGGGGGGCTGGGTGGGAGGGTGGCTTCTGTTTTGAACATCTCCCATCTCCTCAAGAGCAGTAACTATCACATTGGAACCTAGTGCACATTCCAACACCTAACACGTGGACTTCAGAAATTGGTGATTTGTCTTGGAGAGTGGAAAGAACTGGTTTTTTCTTTGGAACAACTTTTTATAGGTGTCAAGATAGGAAATAAGAAAACAATTTGTATCTCTCATTTTCCCTAATTGACAGCCTCCTCTGTTCAGGCCTTTGTGATGTTTTGTACCAAAGAGGTTTGTCTTGGTATGTTTCCTGCTGGAAACAAAATGTGACTTCTCAATTAAAAATTCCAAAAGTGTACTGGCATGCTCTTAAATGTTGTCCATAGGGTGCATATCAAATAAGTTATTTTCTAGGACAATAGCTTGTTGCTTTGCAATCCATTCTACTTACCTGGTAAGCAAAAGACATTGGATTCAAATCCTCACAGGATTTTGGTTTTGCATGTCTAGTACTTCTTGATACTTACTTCTTCCCACAAAACCTGGCCCTGGATTAAGCCTCATTTGCCTTATCTAGTCAGCTCCACACCTGACCTACAAGCACCTGGATAATTGAGAATAATATAATAGTGTATGATGGTGCAGGGCGTGTGGGTAGCTCAGTTAAGCATCTGCCTTTGGCTCCGGTCATAATCCCAGGGTCCTAGGATTGAGCCCTGAGGTGGGTTCCCTGCTCAGCAAGGAGTCTGCTTCTCCCTTTCCCCTGCTTGTAGTCTCTCTCTCTGTCAAATAAATAAATAGACTCTTTTTTAAAAAATGGTGTATAATGGTGCAATAAATAATAACTGCTGAATAAGTGCCTATTTGCCAAGAACTGTTTCAGGCATCTGGGAAGCAAAAAGGAGTGAGACATTACCCTTCCTCTCATAGTCTAATAGAAGAGACCAAAGATACTTTTATACTTAATCCCAATAATCCCGCTGCCAGGAACAGAAGTGATGTGTTCAGGGCCTTCCGCAACTCCACAGTCCCCGGCTCCAGGGACCTAGGACTGCGATCCCATTTGTTTCCATGCTCAGTCCTTCGGGCTCCCATGAACACAACCCAGGAAGAGGCAGAATGGCCTCCTCCACATAGAAATAGGACCAGACCCTCCAAACTACTTCAGTAAACTCAGAAATCATCCTTTGCCAGTTTCCTTCTATTCCATTCTGATAACAGGGCAGGTCACAGTGTAACACTGTGTTTGGGCTTTCCAGCATTATTTGATTCAAATACCATTTTGAAATATTTTTATTTATATGCTTGATTAAAAAAGTTCATCCTTTGTAAAATATCAAGCTGAGGATTAACAAACCATAGTATCTTTGAATTTATGTTTACATTAATTATGTTACAAAGTCAATACTTTAAAGTTTGTAGATTTGAATTCTAAAATTTCTTTATTGATTAAAAATAATATACACATGCTAAAATGTTCGATTGACTCCTAACGGCCTGGAAGTTATGGTAACATCTTATTAGGGCTAAAGTGTTATTTTGTACTTTAAGAATGCTTACAAGACAATTTCAGGAAATGCTAACAATTTAAAATTTAATGTCCCTGGTTACTTTTCAGTTGCTTTTAGTTTTTTGGGGTATTATAAGCTCCGTGAATATTTTTGTGTATGTCTTTTGGTGAACTTATGCATTCATTAATTTCAGGCATATAATTAGGAGTAGAACTGACAGTTTATAAGGTAGTCATACGTTTACTTTTCATAAGCACTGACAAAT